CTAATGGTTGGAACAACACTGACTTATGCTGAAAGTCTAAAGTACACACTACTCCCTGCATCCACTGGTTATTTCAGCATCACTTACTGTCCCACTCACCTACTGTACTGCAGTGTTGTCACACGACTGTTGGATTAGAAACTGGGTGTTTCACATCTCTCAGTTCCATACTGTTGCTGAAGATACCGGATAAAGTTACATTCTTCATTTAAGGAAGAAAAAAACCCAAACAAAACCAAAAATCTTGATGCCTTGGTTGCTCATGGCAAGTGAGGAATTCCCATTTACAGACATAAGATAGAGGAAAACAACTAGACAAACCATGAAGTTACTACAAGTGTAATTTTTGTCTCCTTTTTTGTAGATCTCTCAGTAGAAAAAACAGCCCATACAAAGAGATGAATTTTCAGTGCCCTTTGTTTTCCAAGTGTGCACTCTGACAGTCATGTCACAGCAATGAGGATCACCGTGGTGTCACAGCACAGCCCCTCCTGCATTCAGAGCTGTGTGTTTGCTGTGCATGAGATTACTCAACATGGCAAATGTCTGTGCAAGGAAAAGCTGCTGTGCCTACTGCTTGTCTGAAACCAGGACAGGATCAAGAATGCAAGCCAACAGGGAAGCCCTTTCAATTCCAACACACAACTTCATATCCCGCTTTTTGCAAAATGAAAATCTGTGTTCAGGTTTTGGCAGTCTGACTCAAGACCATGTTTCTGAAATCACAGACTTTAATGGAAACATAAAGTTGATACACAAAACAACATCTGAAAACAGATCTGAAACATCTAAATTGGACTGTGACAGGAGCAAGCTTTGGTAGAATTGGATTATTTAGAATAACCATCACAACGCTAACAACGAGTCACTTGGGATTTACATCCCAACATTTGTAGCAAACGAAAGGTTACCCTTAACCATGGTAGATTACAAATAAAGACAAAAGTAGTGCTGATCATTTACTCATCCACATAGAACATGACTCACAGTCTGATTGTTCTCCCAAATATCAAGACACTTTTGTAAGGATAATATTTTTATATTCCACCTTAACAAATTCCAGTGACATTTGCCTTGAGTAGTTTCAACAGCAGAGTTTTAGACCAATGTTTTCTGTGCAACTGTTTTTTATTTGTTACTTTCAATGTAACAGGTTTATTTGGAATTATGTTATGGCAGTGTCCTGTGCATGGCAGCATATGCAATTTGGAGCTGAGAGGAGGTCTCCAACCCACTTAACAAGACTGCAAACAAAATCTCTGTACTTGAGTATCTGCAAAAGGTGTGCTGAGGCAGAGGACATCCTGTGGCAGAACAGCAGGAGGGGTTGAGAAGTCTACATAACTTCAGGCTGTGAAGGAGTTGGATGGCTGGTTCCAAGGGCAGCCTGCAGTAAACCCACAGCCAAAGAGGCAAAAATTCCCCCACCAGGCACACACAGAAGGGAGGAGGGGTGTAAGTAAGGCAAAAGAATGGAAACTTGAAATGACAAGGACCTGCTGGAGGAAGAGACTTCCCTGAAGCCCGAGGTGACCCTGCAGAACCACTTCAGCACTCTGCAGGCTGGAGAGGGAGGACCCATCACATCAGGGGTGAGGCTGGAGCTCAGTCAGACAGCCCCATCTGTCCCTGTGCAACAACCAGCACAACTAGCAAAGGTGACAAGTGACAGTAGCAAGGGACTCTCCTCTGAGAGGCATGGAGGGAGCCACTCATCAACCTGACAGATTACCAGAGAGCTGCAGCAGGGATGCCACCAAAGCCCTATACAGTCTCCTGACCATTATCTGCTGCTCTTGTTCCCTGTGTGCACCAGGGATAGAGCCAGGAGTGCTCTGGGGAGGATCCAAGGACACGACAGATCCCTGGAGTGGTGCTGAGGGACTCAAGTGCTGGCAGCTTTTTCATCAGTCCTCCCTGTCAAAGGGAAGGGCTTTGAAAGGGCCAGGTGAATCTGGCAAATCAGCAGATGGTGAGGGGCCTAGTGCCACAGCCAGGGGTCTGGCTGCTCCCGGGGACTCGTGCTGAAAGCCTGGACTGGTGGGGTCTGATGGGGGCCCACCTGGCAGGAACGGCCAGAGCACTGCTGGTCACAGGCTTGCCAAGCTGGTGAAGAAGGCTTACACTGAAGTGGCTGAGAGAGGGAATCCTCAATCCATTCCACTCCCACTCATTTGATGCCAGCACCAGCAAGGGACACCCAGAGCTTGGAGAGGGATTGCAAATCAGCAAGAGAGAACCTGAAGTGCTGTGCAAGGGAATTCCAGCCATTCCTGCCAGTAAGTCTGCTCCATCTGAGGCCCAACTTAAATGCCTTTTTGCAAATGCACATAGCATGGGGGGATAAACAAGAGCAGCAGGAGACTGAGCACACCTGCAGGGCTGTGAGCTTACTGGTATCAGTGGTAGGATGGCTCCTGTGACTGGAGTGTTGGAGTGGAAGGATACAGGCCCTTTAGGAAGGACAGGCAGGAAACAGGAGAAAGGAGTGCTGCCCTCTATGTCCATGACCATGTGGAGTGTTTGAAGCTGTACTGGGGTTGGATGAGGAGTTTATGGGCGAGGATTAAAGGGAGGGCAAGGACAAGTGACATTACAGTGGGAGTCTAAGGCCACCCAGCCAGGAGATGAGATCCAAGCAGATGAGACCCTCTACAGACAGAGAGGTGCTGCCTCATATTCACAGGCCCTGGTCCTCATGGGGGACTTCACCTACCCCAATATCCATTGGAGGGACAACACAGCAGGGCACGAGCAATACAAGAGATTAATAGATAACTTACTTCTCCAAGTGACTAAGGAGTAAACGAGGAGAGTTACTATGCTGGACCTTGTTCTTTCCAACAAGGAGAGGCTGGTGGGGAATGTGAATCTCAAGGGCAGCTTTGGCTGCAGCGACCATGAAATGGTGGACTTCAATATCCTGAGGCCAGCGAGGAGGCACACAGCAAGCTCACTAACCTGGACATCAGGAAGGCACACCTTGGCCTCTTCAGGAATCTTCTGGGTAGAGTACTGTGGGATAAAGCCCTGAAAGGAAGAGTGACCCAAGAAAGGTGGTTAATGTTCAAGGATCACCTCTTGCAAGGTGAGGACCAATGCAACAAAGAGGAAGTCAGGCAGAAATGTCAGGAGACCTGCATGGATGAACAAGGAGCTCCCAGACAAACTCAAACACAAAAAGGAAGCCTATGCTTCCCCCCACAGAAAAAGGGTGAAAGCAAGGACAGACAGCCTGAGAGGAATACAGAGAAATTGTCCAAGCAGCCAGGGATCAGGTTAGGAAGCTAAAGCCCTGACTGAATTCTATCTGGCCAAGGACATCAGGGCAAGAAAAAAAAGCTTCTACAGGTACATCAGTGAAAATGTGAGCCCTCTCCGGAAAGAAATGAGATTCGGTTACCTGGGACATGGATAAGGCTGAGGTACGCAATGTCATTGAATACATTTTTGCCTTGATCTTCACCAGCCAGTTCTTCAGCCACTGAGGCCCAAGTCTGCATGAGCCCCTTTGCAAGGTGGCAAAGGCAGGGACTGTGAGAATAAAGAAACTCCCACCAGAGGGGAAGATCAGGTTCTGAACCAGCTCAGGAACCTGAGGGTCCACAAGTCCACGGAACCTGATGACAAAACATGGAAAATAGGGTGACATGGCATCACTAAGGGCAAACCCTACAAACATCTTTCTGTGACAGGATTACAGTGCTGGTCGGTAAGAGAAGAGGGGTTGATGCCATCTACCTGGACTTGTGCAGATCATTCGACATTGTCTTACATTACATCCTTGTCTTGAAACGGAAGAGGCATGGATTTGATGGAAGGACCATGCAGTGGATAAGGAATTGTCTGGATGGTCACACTCAGAGCTGCTGTCAACAGTTCGATGTCCAAGTGGAGACCAGTGCTGGGTTCCTCAGGGTCGGTATTGGGACTGGCACTGTTTGACACCTTTGTCGGCGACATCCACAGCAGCATCAAGGGCACCCTCAGCAAGTTTTTCAGTGACACCAGGCTGTGTGGTGCAGCTGACACCATGGAGAGAAGGGATGCCATCCACATGGACCTTGAAAGGCTTGAGAGGTGGGCCCACACAAACCTCATCAAGTTCAACAAGCAAGACAAGGTCCTGCACCTGGGTCAGGTCAATCCCAACACAAAGACAGGATGGCTGGAGAATGGACTGAGAGCAGCCTGTGGGGAAAAGGACTTGGGGGTGTTGATTGATGAGATGCTCAATATGAACAGGGAATATATTTTTACAACCCAAGAAGCCCCCTGTATCCCAAGCTACACCAAAAGCAGTGTGGGCAGCAGGTCAAGGAGGGGTTTCTCCCCCTCTACTCTATCCTTTTAAGACCCAACCCAGAGTGCTGCATCAGCTCTGGCACCCCCAGCATAAGGACTTCATGGACCTGTTGGAATGGGTCCAGACAAGGGTCACAAAGACTGTCTAGAGGGCTGAGCACCTCTCCTATGAAGACAGGCTGAGAGAGTTTGGGCTGTTCAGCCTGGAGAAGAGAAGGCCCTGGGGAGACCTTAGAGCCACCTTTCAGTACCTAAAGTAGCTACAGGAAAGCTGGATTGGGAGTTTTTATCGGGGCATGTAACGTTAGGACAGGGAAATGGCTTTAAACTGAAAGAAGGCAGGTTTAGGTTAGATATTAAAAAGAAGTTATTTACTGTGAAGATGGTGAGGTACTGGAACAGGTTGAAGAGAAGTTGTGGATGCCACATCCCTGGCAGTGTTCAAGTCCAGGTTAGATGGGAATTTGAGCAACCTGGCTGAGTGGAAGGTGTCCCTCTCCACAACACAGGAGCGGGCAGCAGGGCAGGGAGCTGGAACTAGATGACCTCCAAGTTCCCTTCCAACAGAAACCATTCTATGATGTCACTATTCTATTCTATGAATTCAGTCTAAAAACCTATTTATAACTCATAAAAGAAACTATGATTGTACAAGACTGTATTTTTTAACATTACTAACATGAAAAGTGATGGAAAGTAAATGTGTCAGACGAACATTCTTGATTGCCATCAGTCTATACAGCTTATCTTGTATCAAATTTATCTCCATTGTGCTAAAGGTAAGAGAAGTTAAGACTAATAAAACAAATTCTCTTCTCATTAAGACAAAACAATACATTTTACAAGACTTCAAATGTTGAATCTCAAGTCCTCTATTGAGTTACTAAATGTTTGCTTCCAAACCAAGATATTGGCTTTGTTAGTGCCAACATCACTCTAACATTCTAACATTTGATAGCAAGTTCAGTAATCTAGGAACCTCTTTCCCTCCTCCCTTCTATATATTGTTTGTGCTTCCTGCTTAGATCAAGTGGTTGTATGCTAACAGCCACTATAAAAGTAGCAGTTCAAGTACGTTTTACCATCCCAGAATGCTGTAACACAGGATGGTTAGTCTAAAAACCACTGAGGATGAAGTGCAAGGCCATTTGCTCTAAGAAGTTGCCAAATGGAACCATTTGCAAACTGGCAACTTAGAAAGAAGTACCAGAACTACAACTCTTATTCAGCTTGATATGTTTTCTGAAAGGGGAGAGTGCCAATTATAGTCTTCAGCATAAATAACACACTTGAAAAACTATCAATAAAGGGATTTGCCAATTTTAAAGTTCGTTGTTGATTGTACAAAGAACAAGTCAATGGACTTCCCACTCTTTGCCTCCTTGCTTTCCTCAGGAGTCCATTACCTTTCACAAAGAAAATTTTAGCTATCAAACTTGTCCATAAATTTTGCCGCTGAGTGTGAAACCATCCAGTTAGCATATACACTATCATTTGCATATCTTGAAAACACAGAGTTAGTGCCATCGAATCTTGTGAGTGGAACGGGGCTCTCCTCAGGCCAGTTCGGGTATGACATGCCTAAAAATGAAAACAGATAATTTTTTCTGCACTGAAGAACCATAACTTCATGTGCAGACAGTAAGGCCCTTGGCAAAACTCCCTTCAATACTTTAAGCCAGTCCACTGGATTTTGTCCCAAATCAATTCATATAAATGGTGTTTTGAAATCCCTGAAGCAGAAATTCAGATGCAGGCAAAAAACCTGGATAAATTAAAGTGCTTACTCAATAAAAAATTGTGTGCATGCATGCACATGTGCATAATAAAAAGTTAAGAATTGTTCTTCTCATAAGCCTCCAACTTTCCATAATTTTATAATTTAACAATCATGTAGCAATATATTGCTTTGCAAGAGAAAGTTCTTGCTGTACAGGAAATGCTCCAAGAATTAATAAACCTATTTGGGACAGGATCCAAAGTCCATTGCAATGATAGAATATTTCCATTTACTTAAATGGGTGCTTTTCCTTTGGCTTCAGTGAGGTTCTGGGGACATTTTCACACCCCCACCAGGGATACTCTGCTTAATTTCAGGAAATCCCAGGAGTGCAACTGAGTAAAGTCCAACAAAGTGCTGAGCACTCCTGTCTTGATTCAGCATTTCAAGTTGTATTTCAGGTCTGTAATTATTTGCATTGAGTGCAGTAACTGTTTCTGTGTTCAGGCACAAGTGATAACCAAAATGGACGCAGAGTGCTTAGCACCATGTTGATTCAGCTGTGCAAGCACAGAACCATAGCAGGGTTGAGATTTTCCAAAACAGAAATCTGATTCTGTTGCTTATTAAGCATTCAGCATCTGCCACCAACCTTGTGGCAACTTTTTTCTGCTACTTCACTAAGTGCCCCAAAATCAACATGAGTTGAGAAAACCTAATGAAGAAAATAATAGCTAAGGTATAGATCAAAAATAGACCCAAAGCCATGTATTAATGGCAACTTTTAAACTAAAAGATCCAACTTTTCAAAAGTCATACTGCTTGAAGAATGAAAAAACTATCTGATGTTAGTAAGTATCTAAAACCATGTAGAATATTTAATCAGAAGACAAAATATAGGAGTTTTGGCAAGAACCATTTTTACTGTCCATCTCACCATCACAATATGAAAGCATATGTTCTTTTTAAAAACACTTGCTACATCATTGAGTTGAGGTTTAGTACTAACATGTTCATAACAAATCAAAGGACGTGAAAACAGCTGATATTTTCAAAATGCCCATTGTTAATTAAGCTTTCAAAGGATTTCACATGTCATTTTAGTCTGTATATAATATTTATATACAGTATTTCTACCTTCTGTATATAATAATCTGTTTTCATCCTATGATACATTACATACATTTCAGCTTATAGATCCAAAATGTACTAATAGCAGCTGAAATTTAGACATCCTTCTGAATAAATGAAAAATGTTGCAGATGAGTCTTATCACTGAGTTATGGCAAAAAACAGTATTAAAAAAAAGTCTATTGCTTAAATTAGAGGTGCAGAATCTAACATATTTTAAATGTTGTAGCCTCCCCCAACAGGATAGTTGAATTAGATACTCATTAGCATTTTATATTTCCCCTGAGAATACTTCCCTGATCTTTTTTTTTTTGCTTTTACTGTATGATATCTAGTAATTTTACTTATTTTCACATCCTTTTAAAATGTTTATTTTAGACACAGCTGCAAAATGACTAAAGGATGATCCTGATGCAAACTTTGACATTTACCAAAAAGAAAAAACAAACAAACAAACAAAAAAACAACCCAAAAAAAGCTTCCAAGCAATTTTTGATTGGCTTCATTCAGACAAGAAACACTGTAATGGGGTTACAGAGTCTGAGAACAGTGCAGAAGAAAAATCAACTTTTTTGTGTGTGTTGCTAGAATCTAGTAAATGCATGTGAAATTCTACCATAGAGTTTGTTTTCAATCCATGTGGAAGGGAGGGTTCGAGGGAGGGGAGCATTATTACAGTCCACGAGAGGTGTCTCCTCTTCGGAGAGCCCGTCATCGTACAGTAGGGAGTCGGAGGGCGTGGAAGCCGCAAGGTCCAAGTAGTCCTGAGAAATGGACACAAGAAGCTGCATTAATGCATGTGGCAGTGTTGCTGTTTGGGTAACAAGCATAAATGCGCACCTGCTTTCTTTACAGCAAGGAACTACAGACCCGCTGCATCCACCTTTCTCTAGAACCTCTGGCACCTGAGCAGGCTCTGCTTTCCACAGCCACAGCAGCTCTGGAAGCTGATTTGCCTCAACACTGCCCCTGCTACGGACATACGAATACTCCCCCTACTCAATTCTGCACATCAGCACAACACACAACAAACTGAGAAGCTGTCCTAACTGCTTTGTTCGACCTTCAGCTGCTGGCATGCCTGCTCCATATGTATGCCTGAAATATATATATATATATATATATGGAGATACATATGCATGCTTAAAGGACAAGGTACTCATATCTCATAATCATTTTACAAAAGCTATTACATAACAATGCATAAAATAACTATGTAAATATCACCAAATAAAGCTTTGGTTGCTGTTCTAAAACTAAATATTTAGGTCACCAAAGAATTCATTGGTTTTTGTGTAGTTGAATTGCTTTGAAGCAAAAAAAAAAAAAAGAATGTGAAGCATTTTCAACAAATTTAAATGCATGAAATACTACATTCTTCTAGTTCTGGCTCTCTAGCATTATTTACTTAGGAGTAACTTTTTGCAATAGTTTTTAAATTATTACTATTGTTTAAAGAAAATAGGTTAAGGAAAATCCATCCACATTTTGGGCTGAAGTCACCAAAGCTGTTAGAAGAGGTAGTACTGCTTTCAAAAAGCTGCATGCATGTGGAAGGAACTAGGTATGTAAATGCTTCAAGATTTGATGAAAATAAGTTACTTTACCTTAAAATAAAATTAAAAAGTAATTATTTCTGTACATTCAAGCTCAGAAGACCACAAAAACTTTCAAAATCCATGCTTTGCACACTTACCCTACTCTTCACCATCATCTTCTCTAGTTCCTTGCTGATCTCAGTAAATGTTGGTCTTTTATCAGCTTCTTGCTTCCAGCAGCGCAACATGAGGCTGTACCTGGGACCCATCACAGGGTGGAAAAAACCCCAAACTGTTAGAAATGGCTCATGCTTCTGCTCTAATGATTTACAGCACTGACCTTAACTGTGGCATGAAGGCCAACCCCAAGTACATCAATCTCTGTTGTGAGGACTGTTAAATGTTCCCTGGAATTAACAACTGACACTCACAACAATGGGCTTTTATTTTCAAGAGTCTCCAAGAGTTTAAATGATGATGCACTTGGCTGCCCTTGAAGGACTGTAGTCTCAGGTTTCACTTTCTCAAGGGACCACCTCAAATGCAGGGCAGCATGCCAGACTGCTACTTCACTTTGTATATGACACTGAAGAAATTCGTGTATCAAACTGAAAAACTCTGCTGTTATACCAAAAAGCAGAATTTTGGTTTTCATTTGCTCGAATTCTTAAGTTTCTGTAACTTTTTGCAGAAACTAATGTTTGCCTAGCCTATTTGCAGAAACTAATGTTCTTTTGATGACTTCTATTATTGTTCTTTTGAGTAAACCTATATTTATTCTCTCTTTAATTGCCTTCTATAGCATAGATTCTGGAAAGAAAAGGGAACAGAACTAAAGTTTTATAGTTGAGTGACTATCACACAGACATGGGCAAGTTCTGGAGCGTGACTCTCCAACCTGTGCCATTCATGTAGTTTTTCTAGCTCAGCTGTTCTCAGGACTGAGGGATCTGTCCCCGTAAGTGCTCTAATGGTGGAGACAGTGGGTTATGAGAACTACAGGAAGCTATTGAAAAGCACTGCATTTTATGCCTTCATCCATGATCCCTCTCGTACTTGACTGCATATGGGAGAGAATTCAGTTTGAGAAAAGTGGTCCTTAAAGTGGGCTTTCGCAAGCTGTCAGAAAAATTTCCGAGTAAAACAGAATAAAATCTGAAAACTCAGAAAACCATGATTTAGTTTCAATTAAAAAAATCCCAGAAACTCAGATGTGGTCAGCTTGCCTAAACTAATAATTATCAATGACATAAAATGTTTTTGGAATGAGTACTCCTCACTGAGATGAAACAAAGATTAGTATTATACATTTCTTAGATGATATTTGCCAATCGTTCTTGTAAACTGCTACCCTCCCCTAAATTTGGAAATACTTAATGTTTTTCTCCGTATGTCAAAAAACCTATTATTTATTTAAACCTTTTTTTCTCAGCCCAGATGTGGTCAAAGCATCATTCCAACTGAAAATCAGTCAAAGGAGTGGTCACAATGTTTAAAGCTTGGGAACTTTCAAAATACCACAGCCATGATCAAATTTGCAGGCTGAACATAAAATCACACCTCATCTCCAAATGCCATGGAAGATCACAGACAAAAGATACTTCACATTGATTGTGTTTTAATAAATCAGCTAAAAAATTATGAACTGTCTCCAAAGCCACTGGCTTGTCAAATCACAGAAAACTTTTATCTTCAAGGGTGTACATTTCCGGGCCAAGGTACCATTTCTCCTCTGGAAACTTATAGACAATGACTGCGCATGCAATATCTGTTTCAGTTGCAGAAAGTACTATGACATTTTCTTGAATATTTCAGCTACCACTGTGTTTTATGCAAGCTTCCTCCTTCCTCTACCCTCAGAAGTTTTGAATGCACAAACTCTGTTAATTGTTTGGCAAGCATGTTATTCAATACCGTACAAATGTTTTGGATATAGTTGCAGGCATTCTGTGGGCAATTTCCCCCCCTTGCTTTACTGTCCATTAATTTCATGACATTCTTTAAGCAAAACACAATTTGACTATATCTCTAAGAAATACAGAATAGTATTTCTGAGGTAATTATTTAAACCTTCTTCATCAAGTATATTTATTAATGTTCTCTGAATCTAATCAGATCACGAGTTACTTACATTTCTTCACTGCAGTTTTCTGGTCTCTCCATTCTATAGCCTGTTTTTAGGAGGTTAAAGAGTCTTTCAGGAGCAATACCTGGGTAAGGATTGCCTCCTAAAGTAACAATCTCCCATAGCAGAACTCCAAATGACCATCTGAAAAAGACAAAATGAGCTTTTAAATAGAGTGGTAGGTTTCAGGAGCTTATTCTGCATTTACACAACAAATTTCCTTTCAGTATTTTCAGAACCCAACAAAACTCCAGACACCTCATGCCAGAGCAGTTGTTCAGATGCAAGCAGTGCATCTTGTTCCCATGTGCATTGAAAAGGTTAGCAACCAAGAGAGGAGAGAAAACAGATACCCCTCTTTTATGCATTGACAAAAGCTAATTATACCCAGGGAAGATCCATCTTCTCTAGACAGCAGCAAGAGGAAGTCCTTCCTCTGGTGGCCCAGACCAAAGACTTGTTCCTCTGCTGCACAGGGCTCCTGCAGGAGTCTAACCTCCCTAATTAGCTCTTGTATTCAGAAATAACTCTAAATTAAATTTACAGAGTTACCACAGGACTGGCTTGCTGTCTTGACTATGAGGCAACACAATGTGTTTATTTAAATCACAAGTAACACCTTTGATTTCAGCTGGTCTCTTGGGCCATTTCAGTGACTCGGGACTTAATTTTCTTCTTAGAGTTGATGAAAGAAGAGGAAAGAATTTCCTCTGGAAATACCATATGCCTAAAATGAACTTTGACACAGAACAGAAGAAACAATTTTCTGAAATGAACAGAAGAAATAGTGAATTTTTAAACCTACTTTACTGCTGAGCTCAAACAAAAAGACCTTGCATAATGGGTGAGAAATATTTAGATAAATTAGTCCATTTCTGGAGAGCAAGCCAGGAGAAAACAGGCAAAAATGTTTTTCTTTTCTAACTGAAAGGCTTTTTGAGACACAAAGAAGCTACAAATCACCCTGAATCTGCTCAACTGACGACTGACAAAATCTGAATGTTTGAAAGGAAGGAAACCAGCCAACACTGGGGCTGCTCAATGGGATGCATCTGGAAGCAAAATTGCATACAATTTATTAAAATGCTGGCTTTGGGCAATTTCTCTGTAAACTCCATTTTTAAGAAAATTTCAGGAAGTGTTAGACACCTACTGCCAAACCAAACAGCCATGTCTAATTCCCTATGAAAATTCCATCTCAAAATGTTAGCCAAATACCTCATCTCCTGTCTGACTCCCTTCTACCTGCACTTCTCACATTTTAAAGAACAAAAGTAACCCCAAAGGTACAGCAATAAAACTTCCCAAATTGTCAGAGAAGTCAAAGTGACTCTCACATGGTCTCAAGTGATATGCTGCCATTCTTCTGCCTAATGCCATTCGCTGAATAAATTTTTAATCACTCTGCACATTCTTGAAAGCTTATGAATATTTATAGCATTTTCATATACTTTATTAATATTTCTCCTCATACCATTTTTGAAGCCAATTATGCTCTGCCATCAGGTTACAATTCTGTCCATGATTAATTCAAATAAACTTTGGAGCATGACAGGTTTTATTTCTAAAATCCACTTGAGGAATTTTACAGACTATGGAAGGAGGGATCATATGAACAATTTCTTAACTGAAGTTGTTCAGTAAGTGAACAAATTAGAATAAATGCTGTAGAATGCTGCAGTATTTTCAGACTGTTATACACATTAAGTACTACAGGAGGAGAAATGAGGGATGAAGAATTTCCCACTGTATTATGTTTATTGCAAAATAAAAGCATTATCACAAAAATCCAGGAAAGAAAAGTACATGAAGAGGAAGACAGTAGGTTAGCTTTCCATTGATGTCATAGACCTCTGAAGCAAAAATAGGGTTTTTGTACAGGCTGGCAAGTAGTCCTGTTATTAAACTCTGCTAACCACTAACTATACAGAACAGCTTGAGAAGGAAAAGGGTGGAAAACAGAAGCAGAGTGTCAGAAAAAAAGGGAATATTGGAATGGTTGAGGGGTAATATGTTCACCTAAAATATAACTGCATCACCACAAACAACAGAGAATATCCATAAGATAATACTTTCAGTGAGTGAAATTATCTGAAGTAACAACAAAGCAAAAGGAGTACTTAATTGATCAGTGTGCTGCTCTGAAATGCCACCGTGGAACCTGGTGCTGGAGAGGATTTGCTCTGCAGCTGTGTGTGTGTCAGTTCTGCTCTGCAGGAACCTGGCTAAGTTAGGAGCTGCTGTACAGCACTCCTGGATTATTCCATGTACAGTGACACAGCAGAGGTGAGCCAGCAGTGAGGCACAAAGGCACAGCAGACACCTGGAGCCCTTCTGGCACTGCATGGGAGCAAAGGTACACAGCACCATGCTCTGTTCCTGAGGCAGCCCCAGGAAAGCTGGGCAGCCAGCACAGCTCTGCATGGAGATCCTCAGGCAGCCCTGGGAGGCAGGGAAGTGACACAGCACCAGCACATTGTGCTGCCCAGGGCTCTGAGCCGGCCTGCTTGATGCCAGCTGGGCAATCTCTGCATGGTGCTGGATCCCACTGGCAGCAAACACGCTCCTGGGCTTCCTTAGTAGCACCCACCAGGAAAAAGGAATGGGAGGAATGCTACTGGATCCAGATGATCAATCAGCAATCAAAAAAGAAGCAGTTACATGACAACACAATCTGTTCTGCCCCAAACCATAGTGACAAAACTGAAGAAATTTAAAATATGCTTAGAAGTTTTAAAAGGAATTTTAATGATTCTTTGGGAAAAGTAATTTTAGAGAAGCAAGTCAGCACAACGGGTGCTCTGAGGAGGATAAAAAGAGACCCAGAAAAACCTGTACACTGACCTAAGTGACATTCTTCCAAGAATTATCTCTATTTTTTCTTTTTCTTACTCCAATGGATAAAAAGTAAAGGAAAATACTTTGGAAATTCATTTTGTAAGGAATTGCAAAGGCATGCAAAATATTTTATTTCACTAAAACTGCTCTGACCTGCAGAGAGAAGAGTAAAAGTGAATGGTAATAATTTTAGAAGTACAAATCCAAAGGATGTTTTGACATCCTGCTATTATCAAAGTGTTTTTCCCCTCAAAGTGCAACACGACCCAAATTGGTGTTTTACTCCATTTGAGTGTAACGGCAAACTTAGAAAGTATCAAGATGCTACCTAGCAGAAAATCAGGCCTATGTACTTCTGCTTTTACAGTCCTTTAGAGGTTTTTCTCCTAAATAAATAATCTTTAGCTTTAGAGTCTGCCTGGTGACTAGTCACAAACATCGTTCACCCCAGAGAGAAAGAAATTAAAAGTATCTGATCCTGAATTGAAAATGTCTACAAACACTCTTCTGCCTGGCCCATGCTTTTCAGACATGGGGATAATTTAGCTGTGGTTGCTTTGCCTCCTCTTCATCAGAGGTGGAGATTCCAGCATATCCATCTTCAGGAAATCATGAATATAAGCTTGTATCTTGGCACTGAAACTGGACAGAGCTGACTGGAGTTCTGTCGTTGATTTCAACAGGAACAGAGCTCAGGCATTAAATTCCCCTTCCTTCTTCCACTCCATCCCTCACCTGCCACTTGGTGTTACAAATGATGAACAGAACAGACAAGTTCAGGTATGACCATTACCTGTAGCAAACTCTACTTACTCGTGTCTATATTCAAAGTCAATCATGTCACATGAACAGATCAACCCTTGCTCATTTCAACAAGAATTATGTACATAAATACCTCTAATAATATTTTATTCAGATTTAATTCAACAGCAAAAATCTTGGGCATCACTGCCAGTTGATGGTGCCATCCAGACTTCTCTCATGTTTCTTTGCAAGAGTAATGGCTTTGGCTCCTACACACCTTGCAGTGCTCCCTCCCTCAGCTCCGTAAACAAGCACACAAACCAGAAAGTATTCAAGAGTTTACACTTACACATCACTTTGTGTTGTGTAGATATGGTCAAACAGTGACTCTATGGCCATCCATTTCACAGGGATTCGACCCTACGAGGTAAAGAAGCAGTAATGGTCAGAAAAATAAGTTTCTAAGTGAAAAAACAAGATATTTATCCTCAAAATAGTAAAACAAGTCTGTCCATACTACAGCACTTGCCAGTGTACCTATGATTCGGCATTTCGTAAGAAAAACAGTGAGAAGAATAATTTTAAGTGTTTTTAAAAAAACTAGTTCATGTCTTTTTACACACTTCAGCAATCTAATTATGTGCAATAAGCTGGTGTGGCCTTTTGCAGGTGGTCACCAGTTTAAGTCGGATAAACTCAACTCTTCTCTTAACAAAGAGCTTTGAAAATGTGCAGATGCAAAAATGATGACGAATGATGGCTAAAGAAGAAGAAATATCTCATTTACACCAGGGACGATGCATAAATAGAAGCACCTGGATGTTACAGATACCTCTGGTTTCAGAACTGAACCTGGACAATCATATTTGGTTACTAGTTTCTAAGTGGAATCTACAAGTTGCTATTTTTCACTGGCAGAAATTCACTGAGAAAAATCTGAGTAATCCATCCCAAATATTCATGAAAATCTAGGTATACAAAATTTCCAAGCTGTTTCATAACCTTCCCAGTATGATTAGCATTCATATGCCTTACTTCTCATTCTCATGAAATCCATATATATAGTATTTCAGGAGGATTTGAAACTTCCTCTTCCTTCTCAAATTCTTCTTTTCCCTGTCTCCCCATCCAAGCAGACAGATAGCTTGTTAGGCTCTGAATAATACTACAGTGATGAGTGCCTCAGAAGTAAAGAGCAAATATCCACTCAGCATATCATGCCCCACCAAACAAAACTAAACTGCCAAACTGCCTTTATGTATAGGTTTTACTCTTAAAATACAGAGCAACTGGTAGAAATCATTGTAAAAACACATCCATCAGAAGATAGCTAAATCAACATGGCAATGCCCTTTTACATAAAATCATGACTTCTAGAAGTTTTTCTTTTTTCTTCACAACTCATTCTGACTTACACAACATTCACACAAACTGGCCCTTAAAAACAGAGAAAGCTAAACTAAAACTTCACACTATTTATGGAAATCTTCTCATAAAATTTTAACATTTTCACATGCAAAAAAATCCTGCTGGCAGCTCCTTCATATGAAGCCATAGAGGGAACTGAACCACCACTGCTTATTTGACACAGTCAGTGGGAAGCTGCGCTCACGAACATCACAGTCTAGCCCAGGACTGACTTGTGGAAGTTGTGTGGAACTTGATATAAATTGTCTATATATTTTTCAGCTCTTCAGTATTTTTAGTTTATATTTTAAATTATAAATAGGAAGAGAGAAAGAAAAAAAAAAAGGTGTTTTTTGTTTGTGTTCTCATATAGTTTGATGAGGAACTGGATAAATAAGGAGTGGAATGAGAAGACTGGATAAATGAGGAGTGAAGAGGTAGTAGTTACTTAAAGATGATACATATTTTACATATTTACATATATATATATATGTGTATTTATATCCCACTGGTTAAGCTCATGCTTTTGCTTCATTGTCATTTTTATTTCTTAAAATAATTACTTACATTTATAAAAACAGCCATTCTCCTTTTCATCCATGCTCAAGTCCCACACAGTATAAATTAACTTCCTTGATCAGGCAATAATTTCCACTACTGCTTTTAACAGACACTGTACCTTGCTCCTCTTTACATAGGAATCTTCCTCATACACATCACGTGAGAGGCCAAAATCAGAAATCTTCATTTTGCGCCCTTCTGCCACCAAGACGTTCCTGGCTGCTAAATCCCGATGCACAAGCTTTTGGAAGGAAACAACAGAAGAGTTTATGCTTGTTGTGGAGGAACCAGCTGCTTGCTCCAAGTCTATCACACGCTGAGATGAGCCCTGGCTGCCCTACCTTCATTTCTGCGAGGTACTGCATGCCTCGGGATATCTGCCATGCAAACGAGATCAGGTCTCCCATGGTCAGGGCTCTCTCGTCCGGGTTATCCAAATAGCTGGAATTCCTGTTGCCATCACTGCCCACGTAGCTCGGGCCCACTTTTCTACTTTCCCTGAGGAAACTGCGCAAGGAGCCGTATTTGGCGTATTCCACAATTAAATACAGCGGGCCTGAAATAAACAAACACACAGGTCACTAAACAATTCACAGATAACCATTTTAAGGGTCTTTTTCAAACAAGTCTCTTGTAATCAGCACATTGTTTTGAACTATCAGAGGGTCCCAGACACCTCTGCCCTTTGTGTAAAAAACACTGAGTCAGCCATGAAATAAGAATGTTTTTCCTTAGATCCTCAATGCAAAGAGAATGAGTTTCAGGCTAAATCAAAGCAGAATGCTGGCTCTTGCCTATAATCCCTCATCTAGATAATCTGAGACCAAAAAACCAGACAACCTTCATACAAATTAGATTTGTGAAACAGCTAAACTTAGAAAACTTTAAAATTAATATAATCTTCTTGAGCTTGTGATACTGAGCTCAAATAATCAGCTAATTCCAGCACTGTGTTTAAGGTGCCTTTTGACAGCACTTCGAAACATTCTGCCATTACAACCCATTAATTTCTCCTCCCCATTACCCACATGAATAATACCTACTCAATAATACCTACCTAATGATAAATACATTTCTGTCCTGTATCAAAGCCCTCCTACCTCATACACTAATGAATTAACTTGATATTTATTAAAAGCCTGTGACTCAGTAACATTTCACTTCCTCTGGGATGAAAAATACCTTGTACTGAAAAGAAAAAAAACTAACCAGCCCCACTGGCTCATTACCTTACTAAGAGATGACTCCTGAATTTCATTCTCTGTCTACAACTAAAAAGTGACATTTGCAACAGAACTGGGTGGGCAAAGAAGGCAGGCCTTTGCCCAAGGTTGCAGAATCCATGCTGTGATTTTAGGCTGCACAACTGCAGATGCAAAAGGAAGAGAATTGCTGCCATGCCACTTCACTTAAAATGAGCAATTCCTATGCACATCAACATTAGCTTCATTGGCAATTTATAATACATGTGTCTGCAGATTTTACCCCTTGTTGATGACTGTGGCTTTTAGAAATCATTTCATAATGGTTTCTAAAAGGGAGAGAACAGTTTTGAGACAGTGGAAGAAAACTGACGATCAACCTAACTATCCAACTATCTTCATCTATATATGGCTGTAGCTGTCTATTTACATTGTTTTAGTATAAATAACAACAACAATAATGAAAACTCAATTAAACTTAAAATATAACTCATATTTGAGAACATTGATTATTAACATAACATAAAAACATGTATTGATTGGAAGAGAATTTGCAGGAGACTTGTTAATTTAAAATAGCTTCAGAATCAAAATGTGCACTGAGGAAAACCCCAGGAAGAATGCTTAGTTACACTGAATTAGTATTTCCCTTTTCTTTCAAGTATTTTTAAAATATTGTATTCATTTAATATAATTTCATATTTTAATAATGTTTTAAATTTTTTTTAATTTTTTTTTCAGCCAACAGCAAATTTAAAGTATGCTCAGCAATTACTAAACAGTGGTTGAAATCCAACAACAAACTACATTTAATTTCCTTTCTGGATGGTTTCATCTTAGTAACAAACTTTTAGTATTTACCATCTTGACTGCAGGCTCCATAAAGTTTGATGACATGAGGATGGTTGACTTGTTTCAGAAGGTTGAACTCTGACAGGAGATCTCTCAGCTCACTCTGCGAAGCGTTTTCTGCAGAAAGTGACCAAACACACAGTTTTGGTTAGGAAAGCATCACTCAAGAGTTCTCTATTTTAAGTCTGAAATATGCTGAAATACGAGATCTGCCTTCTCTGCCAGGGTTACCAAGAGGTTGGAAAACTCCACATTTCCCCACAGGAGACAAATTTCCCCATCTCTGGTGTCCTGCAGCCATTCACATCAGAACCAAGTGAATGTGGCTGCTGCTGCTCTGGCTTGGTAGCAGCCTGCTCTAGGCATTGCTCTGCCCTGGTACTAATGACTGCAGAACAAGGAGGTCAGGCAGGAATCAGGAGCAGAGTCTGTAATGTCTTAAAGATGCCATGAAATTATTATAGACCTTTTCTGGTGTTCTAAAGCAACTTCTTAGGGTGAATCAGTGCAAGAAAAGCTTCAGAAGCATATGAAAGCCAAGCTCTCACGCTGATCAAACAAAAATAGACTCACTCCTTCTCCTAAATACATTTTCCAACAGATTAAAAATCCACTAATCTACTGGTTTACTCTTGTAGCATACATCCAGATTTACAGTTCAGAAGCTAAATGTACAGTACAAACTGATTTTACCAGGGGACACGTATGTAGACTTCACTGATGTCAGTGAGAATCATGTGGCAACATATGGCAAAACAGGCTTTCTTAGCCTTTCAAGTGCTTTGCCTTCTTGCAGAATTCTTCAGACTGACAAGCTTCCTCTTTGAGGGCACTGGGGCTTGAAGATCCCTAGTCATAAAGACACCATAGGTCAGAGATAAACCTTACTCTTCCTCATCCTTAATCTCTCTGACACACAGAACCAGCCTGGACAGTTCCTCAAGTGTCATTACTGGGCATTGACAAGGATGTGTTCATCCTGATTTAAGGACAGTAAAAACAAGTTTGGCTTCTGCTCTTTGGTACTGTACTGTGTGCTTTTTTCATAAAGGCTGGGAGCACCAAAGGATTTATTTGCCTATTCATGTGTGACCAGTTTGACCTCCTTATAAAAACAGTTATTCTGCTCTACTGTTATGTTTGTATCAGAACTACACATTTGTATCAGCCTTATATTATCTTGTAGTCAGAATCTGCACTCAGAGTAGAGAATCTTCTACTTCAGGGAGAACAGTATCAGCTGATCTCTCACTACTGATAAAGACTACAAAAAGCACATTTATGTAAAACAAAAATCAAGAATGTCAACTTAATGCCTGTAAGAGAAGTCCTATTTTTGTAGTTCTGGAGCTGTGTGATGTGAACAAACCATGTACCATGCCTGCTTGTCTACCAAAAAAAATAACCTCAAATGGAGACACTTGCTCTAAAGCTTTAGGCCACTCATTTTAACAAACTGTGAATAATTTGTATTTGTGAATTGGTTGGTGTTTTCCCCTTTAATTTTATTGTAATGAGGGTATTCATATCAGATAGGAGGTTAAATTTAATTAATATGAGAAAAGTAGTAATAATGAGCTGAAAAAAATTACCCATCTGTTCCTTTACACCTCCATCCACAGCTCCAAGACTATTTTGGCTCAGCCCATTGCTCCCTGTTCCCTCCACAGTACCTAACACCAAGTTGTCACAGTAGGGAGAGTCCTGCCCTGGTCTGTTCTTACTCAGATTGTGCCCATCTACCCAGCTCAGGCAGGAGAGCTCTTTCCTGCAATAAGAGGCAATAACATTCTGGTGTGCCTAGCACTGCCCTTTAAAGATCACACAGTGTATAACAGCCCCAAACACTTTGACAAATGACCTGCTCTGCATCTGGTACAGGGAAAGAATGGGTGGTGCTGGCCTGATCCAAAATAACTGCCCTTTGTCCTTCCTGGCAGCACAGCAAAGGCCACTGAAGCTAATGCACTGGTCCTTATGCTTCAATTGTCATGTGTGAACAGTAAAGTTAAGCCAATAATAGCACATAAATATTTGCAGAATGACAAATGCTCTTCACAGTCAAGCTGGAAAATAAAATTTCAGGTGACTATCTGCAATTTAATTTACATTACAGAGGGATTCATTAGAGCCTGAAGTATTACTGTAAATGTCAGATCAATTTATTAAAGTAAGGTGCTTAAAATAAAGGTCTACTCCTTCACATTGTCAATTGAGTCAATTCTGTCCTTCATAATAGATAGGGAAAACTGAATGTCAAACCATCTGCAAGTAAAAGCAACATTTTTACCACTATGTCTTAGAATCTTAACTGAGTCACGTGTTGATGAAAATGTGCTAGAAAAAGCAGTGTCACTAAGTGCACAAATAAACATGAGATGAAATAGTGACTATTGTACTGACAACGCAATACAATGCAGGTCATTACTTCAGTATTACAAGTAAGAGTTAAATAATCTTCACTTCTGAAAAATCCTAGTTCCTAAACTTCCTCCATGCGACCTACACCTCTTGCAATGAAGGCATTCACTGCATAATGCATTTACTTCTTAGGTAAAGGGGTGGGATATGCACATCTTTCCTCTCAAGGAGTGGCAAATGTGCTTTCAATGTAACAGAAATGGAAATTAGAAGAATAACATTTTCCTGTAATGACATGATTCTACTCGCAAGCAGCACTGAATGGCTCAGTGCAAGGTCTCACATTATCATCTTAACATTATCTAGGCATACTTTGTTCCCCCCAGGTTTAAAGTCTTAGGGTAAACTGAAAACAGCAGGAGACAGCACTGGGTTATTCAAGCCATTTTGACAGAGCTCCTAGTGATTGAAAAGCAGATCAGAAAGCATAAAACTAGACAGAACTCTAAATCAGGAGAGTAAGTTAACAGATCTGTTCTGTCTCTTCATATGATTATCACATGATTTTTTTAAAAAGCTTTGTCCATGGAAACTGGATAGAGGAAAAGACTCAGAAAGCTTTAACAAACCCTTGCAATATTCTTCCCATCAATGCCAAACAGAATTGAATACATTTGCTATGTTAAGACAGAGGCTCCTTGCAGATCATGATTTAGAATTACTTACTTGGATCAATGTGATGCTAACTGCTAAAGTCACAGATCTGCAGATTGTGACTGTCAGAATGCATCAGAATGCTGGAAGAAAGAGAGGCTGTGGCACTGCTGGGTTTTTAGCTGACCTTTTGCTTTCACACAAGCCCCTCTTCAAATCTATGCAGAGGTTACCACAAATAGTTTGCAAATTTTTTCAAAAGCCCCGATGGGAAGGTACCTTTCAGCATTTTCACTGCCACAGTGGTATAGCCAGCCCTTCCCTTAAGCCGGAATGCTGTGGCCTTGACGACCTTTCCAAATTCTCCTTCTCCAAGAGTCTTGCCCAGAACTAGGTTCTTCCGAGGGAATTCCCACTTTGGATCTTCCTGCAGGAGAGAAAAGAAACCCTGTGAGATGAAGCAAGGAAAGGAGAGGCTATTCCTAGGAATAGGTGCACTTGAGTGTGCAGTCTTTGGTTGCTCCTTTTATCAGTGAGTTCTTATAAAAGCTTCTGGGTATCAAGATATTTTGCAAATGTATTTTCCCTTACCTGAAAACCTTCAAAACAGGCTGTACAGGCAGTCTATGGATAATGGATTACATTTACAGGTCTGGGAAATTGGGTACAAATGAAAAATGAAGTGATACAGGATAAATCCTTGCCTTCAGAGTAACTTTGAACATGTGACTTTCATGGAGAAGTTTTACTCACAGAATAAGGCTTTCCCTTAAGAATTGATCAGAGACAACAATCACCTTCTTACAAAACTAGTGCTAATAAGCTCTGAGGTTGCAAAATTAGGACAGATGTACAAACCAGACAAGAAACTAAAGCAAACAGAGCACAAGGTCTGTGAAAACGTCAGTACCTAACACTAAAATAGATCTGATGCTGCCATATAAAGCAGCAGTGATTCTCTACCATGCTGGCTCATGAAAACACCCCATCTCACAGAAATCCTGGATAGTGTGTGATTCAAAGCAGGAAAAAGTAGAGTAAAGGTGTGACAGCGTGACTGGGCAAAAGTCCTTAAATGTGGGCAAAACTCCCACACCAACTGATATCTACAATGTGTATATCAGAAATCAGGAAGTCATCTCAGGAGGGATTCTTCTGTAATGTTAAATCTTAGCCTTGTTGTAGTACTTTGGCACATCATAGAGAGTTAGATGGTTAGTGCTTAAGTGGACAGCGCTAAAAGTAAAACCACAGTACTGTCAGATTCAGTTACATCAGCGAAAATCACTGCCTTAAATTAACCTAAAATGTTACACTGTATTAAAGCATAATAAAAAAGGAAGAATGTACTGGTCTTACACAGCAAACCGAAATGTTTATCCAATCACTCATGAACTATCTTCATGCACATGATTTCCAGCGCTGCTATTTGAAGGTAACGGGTGATTCCATGAATGGACGGCATGCCTGCAACATCATCTGCATGCACAAACAAGGCTGACCCCAAAACAGAGCATGCCAAACGGCACTGCCAGGCTTACAGGTATTTTGAAGGCGTCCACAGCCACCTGGTTCTCCATGGAGTCCAGGGAGGGGCGGCGCACATTGCTGGAGGAGTAGCTGATGGGGTAGGACTGCGCGGGGCGCCGGAACGTCATCTCGGCCGAGGCGATGGGCGCCTTCGGGGAGTTCTTGTGGTACCGGTGGATGCAGTAGAAGGAAACCAGCACCGAGATGACAAAGCACAGCACCACTGCCCCTGTGATCACGGTCTTGCACAAGTCATCACACAGTGGCTCTGCAGACCAAAAAGAGCTTCTCAGAACTTTCCTTGTGGCCTCTTACTTCTGCATAATAATTCAGTTTTAAAGATGCAAACTATTTCATGCTATGTTTATTATTAGGCAAAATAAAAATGATTTAAAATATTCATTATCTGTTTCAAACAACTGCACAGAAAGGTCAAAGAAAAAAATAATGCACTCCTCCTCCTGACACCATGGGTGATGGTTATCTCTGACATTTTGAAGCTGAGATTGTTTAAGAAATTATCAGGAAGCTGGAATTACTTGAAAGTAATAGAAATCATTATTCCAATTCTCCTAGCTGCCTCTGCAAATATCAGGTAAGCCTCACTGAAATGCAAATGCTGCTGGAAATCAAAGGATGACCGACTTGTTTGTCAAGTAGCAATGAATAAAAATGAATCCTTAGCCATGGCTATAAATAACACATTCTGGAAATTTTCAGGCTCCATAGTGGATGCCAAGGTGCCAGTTCCTCACTAGTTTTCTATTAGCAGTCTCTGACCAAAGACATGGCTTATTAACATGGCCACAACTGTAGAGTTCTATATGTACACATGATGCATACAAAGAAAAAGATTACTACCAGAACAGCAACTAGACTTACCTTTGATATCATCTTTCTCACAATAACAGTTCTGTCTTGGGAAGCAGTAACAAATCCCATGTCCTGCCTTAATTCCAAGATTTCCAATGCCTTTCCCATGGCCACCAATTATATTTCCACCTAATCAAATACAGACAACAGGCTAAGATTCTTACATGTAGGTAAAGGGAAAAGAAAAGCCTCAGTTTTCCATGGGTTTACCCCAGTATGAATCTGAAATTGAACCAGGGAGCACAGTGCAGGAATAATGACAGGAACTCCTAAGGGAGATGGAAGACTAAATTATGAAATTTCTGAGATCCTGAAATGGGAGGACCTTGCACTGTTTAAACATAGTCCTCATTAGCTGTTCTTGAGTTATCCTGCTTCTGATGCCGATTTTCCCACACCTTGGAAAAGTCAGTTCTAGGTATCATTGGTTCCACTGTCACATGGAGATAACAAACACTTAACCACCTCTGCAAAATGCCACAGGACAGTCTAGTCAAAGCACTAAGAATAAATGCCTAGTGAAAGTGATAAAAAAAATGAACTGCACTATCTAAAAATGCATTATTTAATATTAGTAAAAGAATTGCAGAAGCTCATACTCTTGATTTCAAGTAGTTCTTCATGTAGAGTAACAGCAACTGCATTTCCAAGTAAATAATTTTTTTGTATATGTTATAAAAATTACTATCAGCAGGGACATTTTTATCTCTACACTGCCTTTATTGCAAAGAGCATTTTACAGGCAGCTCAGGTGGTTAATTTTGGAAGAGACTCTGCTGAGTCACCGCCCTCTGAGCTGACACTTAAAAGCACTGGTGTTCCCAAAAATTCCTCATTATCCTCCCTGCCTCTCCCCAGCCAACTTCCTCCATCATGAAGAGGTGATGAAATAAAGTTTCCATTTGCCACAGAAAATTGTATGCATTTATCTATACCTGCCTATGTTTGAAAACCTGGAAGCAGACGGAAGCAGGCAATGAGCCAGTCCTACCTAACCTGTTCTTGAGCAGTTGCTTACTACATGAAAGTCTCTTGCTAAAAATGCAATTAGGTTGCCTCTAAGTGATAGGCACAGCCACAGCACCAGCTGCTTCAGTTGAGTACCCTTGAATGTAATATTCATAGTGTTACTGCGAGAAAGCAATTTTGGGACTCAAGGACATAGCCATCATAACGACAAATGAATTACAGAAATCAGTATTTTCACAACCTAAAGAATATCCTTGATCTTAACACATCTTGGCCTATTTATTGTTTGCCATTTCCAAAGGAATGTCCCCTGCCAGTAAAAGCTGATAAAATGGTACTCCTGCAGCTCTGAGCTCCCAGAACAAACTCATTTTTTTGTCTGCAAGTATACTGCTTTTGGGCATCAGCCCAGGTTCTCAATTGTGTCAAGTCATGTACACAATTATTCAGCTTAGGCGTTAAAAGGGCTTGCATAACATCCTGAAAACTTGTCTTACTCGCCTGCTTATTATCCAGAAAGACAGTATTTCTTTTGAGCAAAACATTTGATGCATATGTTGTACTTATTTTAGTACTGCAGCCCCTGGCACAAATATTTCCACTTTCAAAATGACAAATTATTGCAACTATTACCAATTGGGAATTCTTTTCAGATGATTAGAGAAGTTACTTGCATTTCCTTCAAGCATTTCTCCCACTTAATGGATTGTTTTTATACACTGTGATGAAATAATTATCTTTCTGATAATACTAATTTACAATACACAATCCATTCTTGCATGTAAGAAATACTAAGAAGCCTCTTTAGTAATTAATTTTATAGAAGAACATTAAGTTCCAGGCTTTAAGAAAATGCTAGTTCCTCTAAGACTCCATTTTAAAATCTCAACTTGAAGTATATGATGTCAGAGTCAGAAGCAGCATTCAAGAAACATGTGTCTTTATTCATGAATTAGACTGTCAGATAAAAAGATCCACTTAAAAATTATCATCTCTCTGAAGATGGAAATTGCTCAAGAGAATTACACTGTTTTTTCTACCCTGTATATCTTCAGAATGAATTGTGAACTTGCAGGTATTCACAAGTGGAGTGCAGAAATACACGGTCAAGTAAAAAGATCCAACACAAACGCATTTAAATTCCGCCTTCATAAGTTCTGCTCACATGAGGATCTGCCTGGATCGTCAAACAGGTAAGGCACTGGATCATTCTGATGGCCCCCTGTCTAAAAAGGGCAGCTACACTTCCCCAGATGATCTTTTGTAAACACACTTATTTTAAATAGAAATTTGTTTCTTCTCACTTATTTACTCAGGAGCTCAAATAGGCTGGTTCCTGTCATACTGTACTTGAGCTAGGAAGTGAGGCACTAACGTGCCTAGAATCTGAACCTCTTCAGCAAGTACCTGCACTGAAAATCACCACCTGCGAACGAACAGGCAGCAGGATGGGCGTTGCTGAGAACACCTTACCCCTCCATCAGTCAGCCAGTGTCACCTGCCTGGCTCAAAAAAGGTCAAGATTAATCCTCATAACCTTAACTCGATTGAATGATTCAAATACAATGTAGAGATGCTGAGCTTGTAAAAATATCTGTGCTTGGGAAAGTGATATGTGGGAAGCAATCAGAGGTGCAACAGAAAAGCCCATGATAAAACATTCCCTACTTGTGCAGTCTTGGGGACACACAGCCGGGTCTCTGCCCTCCACCGCATCACAGACGCCATCTGGACACGTCTTGATGCTCGGGGTGCACGTGGAGTAGTTTGTGGTGATCCCTGTTAATGGAGAAACAGCTGCACTAATACCACAAGGAAGGAAAGTTCATTGTATCTTCTCAGGGCACACTAACACTCCAAACCACAGGTTATGGTGCCTTTTAAAATGAACATCTATGACTAAAACACCTGCTAAAGTAACAGGCAAGACAACAAATAAAGGCAAATGGAAGAAACCATTTTTTGCTATCTTTTCTGCTTTTGACAGTCCTCTGGTCATGTCACTTTCAGTTACTGTGAATACTGCTTGAAAAAGAGCTGGCTGACCACTCTGAGACTGAAGAGCAGCTTTCACATCTGAGGATTTCTCTACACAATTTCACCCACTTGAATAAGAGGGTTACAAGTGGTTGTAGAGAATGTATGACACTTACGCAGTTTGAAGGGATCAAGCACCGACACACAGTCATTGTTCTGCAAGAGTCGAGTGCTGTCACCCATCAGATCCGTGCTCCAGAGCACAGAAAGAGACACTGCTTTGTGCTCACTGTCTGCTGGCTGCACCTGCTAGCACCTGCTCCAGTTACACTGCTGCAAGCTCAGTTCACTTCCTGCTGGTTTATTTACCATGTTCAGCATCACCAGGGACAAGATAAAGAATGGCCCTTCCAACTTCACCTCATTTTCCTTTTTAGTGCATACCTCATATGGGTATTATGATTCTTTTTTTTTAGCCCTAGCTTCTGTGTAGTTCACCATACCACGTTTTCCAGCCAGAATGAATCAGTTTATATCTATGGAACTCAAAGGCACAATTACAATCAAACAGAAGTTTGACTTCACACAACATAAATGTACCTTTCCCACTCCCCTGTCTCCACTGGCATCTTCCTGTTAGCACTCCCAGGCCACCACATTCTTCACATTCAGCACGGTGCTTACTTATAGCACAAGAGTCAGGACAGTCCTCTTCTTTTTTTAAAACTGTTGGGAAAAATTCAGGACAAGGGAAATGAGCACACAAGCAGGTCAGCTCAGAAGAGGCAATCTGTTTTTAGGGATAGATAGGAAGGAAAGACAGATGAACAAAGCAGTGAAAGACTGAAAACTGACTGACCCAATTATCAGTAAACTTAGGGAACAATTAAAGAAAAGCCCAGGTGCTCCTTCTCTGTGAAATACAAGATGAACAGCAAGCTCATGAAGGCATGGTTATGTCTGCTTGACAGCACACTGTCACTGCCTAGAACTAAAGATTTGTGCAAACATACTGATAACAGAAGAATGGGAAGCATAAATACCTACAGCTTCATACAGAATGTTTAATTAGGGGGAAATACTTAGTTCTTGGGCTAACACAGTAGTAACCCAAAGAGCACCAGCTAGAAATATGTGTTTTCAGACAATATGAGGTTTGTACAAAAAGAAAAATCCACTGCATGCTTTTTGTTTCTTTTTCTTCAAACCATTTGCTCTTGGCATAGGAGTTCTGAACTGATAAAATATAACAGAGGTATTGATCAGGTACAATTGTATGGTTTTGCTTAAAATGAATACAGTTTGCAGAGAAATGAGTATGTTTCCAGTGAAATCCTCCTCTGTGGGTGTTGCGGGATATTTTTAACTTCCTTCTCCGTAAGGGTGGGTCATCACATTGCCCTTAAGAACTTGAATTCAGTGTGATTGCTACATGAATACTAAGAATACTATTAAAAAATTTTAGAGAGAAGGGAGGAGAAAAATCAGTGAACAAACATACTTAGGCCAGTATAGTTCTTTCTTCAGATAGATAGATACACACACACACATGTGCCTACAGACCTTTTTTCTTCTTCCACAGGCATATGTGAAATACAAAATAAAGGTCACACATAGACACACACACACTAAAGATTCTTCTTAATCAAAGGTCATCATGAACATTATGAATTCCATACAGTATCTCACCTTTCTGTACATTAGTTCTTCAAACAAATAGCTACTACAGGAAGGCACAAATCAAAATTCAAAATCCAAACTCTGTGATCCATTATCTTGTAGCTCAGACTCATTTTCATTGTTAATGCCATCATTTTACAGGTCACCCTGCTAATGCACCACCTCACACCAGTAACGCTTGCTAATCAACCAACAGTTGTGACAGGGGTACTTACGAGTTCCCTCCAGGACAACAGTGAGGAGGGTTTTGGTGTGTTTCCTGCTCTGCTTGTCAGTGGCTTGCACAGTGTACTGGATCTCCTTGCACTCAGGTCTGCGCAGCACTGAGGAATCGTTCACATACAGGCTCCCAAATTTGTCCTCTCGGCCTTGCAGAATGCTGACAGGATGGCAGCTCGAGTTGGGGGACAGCAACTTGTAGGTGATGTTTACACCACGGAACTTCATGCAGTTTTCAACGCAGATCTTTCCCACCTAGGCTCAAACATCAACAAAGAAATCACAGACAGGAACAAAACTCTTCAGAAAAAATATTTAGTGCTTCTCAAAAATATCTGAAATAAAATGGAGCATACTACACCTTGCCAAATTCAGTGTTTATTTGGGGTTTACAGATTTGTTATTTTCCTACAATTGCAGTATGTAAATGCTTTAAGTGTGATCTATCCTCAGTAAAAATGAGACATAAAGCATTAACTGTTGTCTTCAGACTAGCAGTGAAAATGCAAAAAGCCTTGACACAGACTCAGTGGTATTTGGTGCCTACTGCTGATGGGCAGCAGTGTTCAGTGGGAACAAGACCCTGAGATTTGGGAAATTCTGAGTTCAATCTCTGTTCTGTCTCAGGCTGACCATTGAATAAACTGTGTCATCCTTGAGAAATCAAAGAGCTCAGCATGAACAAAACTGAGACTCTCTTCAAGTAACACAGAAATTGCTATTACATAATTTTTATAATATTAAGAGTCAAAAAGTTTCTGGCCAGAAGAGCTCTCTGAAGGCCTTAAAAGGAATAAGAACCTCATTGTTTCCCATTTGCAATCCTAAAACATTTTAATCTAAAAATGAAAATATGTTGGTTTGCCATATTTAAACTTCTGTGTGCCAGAGTATCTAAGCTAGAACACTCCTTGGTCTAAAACACATCATCTAAGAAGCACAGGAATGCAAAGCCCCATCTCCTGTCCAGCTCCTACAGGAACTGATCCAAAGCTCACTTTGGTTTTTCCATTTACAAGAGTGGGATTTCGATCAGGCCCAGAGGCATTGGCTTTCTTTTCAGGGAAAAACCACAATGTGAAGGGTGGGGTGTTATTGAAAGGAACTTGCTGATGGATTATTTTCAAATGCTGCAGTTAAGAAATGTTTTCAAGAAACACCACTGCTGGTAAAAGCGTATCTGTACATCTTGGTTCCAGCATTCTTACTAAAGAATGTTATAAAACAAAGACGTTTTTGTGTACTATGACCTCTTCCCATGATCCTGGACTATTTAAGGTCAGAGAAGAAGCCTTTGCAATTCTAGAAGCATACTTTGTCATAGGATAATCCCACTTCATCTAACTTTTTGCCATTCACATCACTGATGGGTCATTTGGCACCATTCCTGTCAGGATTTTAGGTGGCAGGATAACACAGAAAGACTATTAAAGCCATCAAAAGCAAGGACATTTCTTTCTGGCTGTCTCCTCTGCCCAACATGCTGGGACTGGCAGGAAGAAGACGACAAGATTTCCACTGTTCATAAACTCTGTCTAGACACAAGGTCTAGACACGTCCCTTCCAGAAGCACGTCAGCGCAGCTTTGGTGCCGCACTGCAACTGGCAGTGCTCTGCTACTGCTCAGATGGTGCTCCTTGCAGGAGGAGAGCACACTGATGATCCTGGCATGAACCTTGGCACAGACCACACTGAACTGCCCTTTCTGCCTACTCTGTCATAACTGCTCTTTCCAGGCACCTTTTTCATCGCAGTAATTTCCTTCAGTGGGGTTGGAGAAGACCCTGTAAATTCAGATGACCCAATAAAATCTGAAGAGCAGATCAGCCAGTTTATTCCTTAGAATAGCACATTAGCCAGTTTTGCTTTCTCCATATAATTAGAGAAGAAGCTATAAAGGCCTCCCTCAAGAAATTTCTATGAGAAAAAACAGACTCTCTCTTTTTGCCTAATTCCGCTGAGGAAAGCCCAACCTCGTAACTTCGATCTGCTCTGCAAGTTCTGGAGCCAGCTCAGCTCTCAGGTGCAGCAGAGCACAACTCCAGAGGAAAAAAGGAAAAAACAGCTACTTCCCCCTTCTCACAAAGGTGAAAAAACAAGTAATCAGGGTAAAGGGTAGTCAGGTTTAACATCAGCTTACAGGGGAGGAACCTACAAATTTGCAGGACTCTCAATAGTTAACATAAAAATACCATTATTAGAAATAAGAACAGAAAAATCCATCTTTCAAGTTCCAATGTTTAATAAAGTCTGGATAATGATACTGTTCCTCTTCACTGAATTACAGGAACATTTGGACATATATAACCTCTCTAAAATCTCAGTCAATGTTATTCATCATTTGTCTCAGTAAATGTCAATAGAGCTTTAAGTCCTTTGATAAGTTAAATGCCACTGGGCAAGCCTGCACTGTCAGGCCATGCTTCTGTTATTCAATGCATTTAGCTGCTCAAACAGACAAATGGCATCAGCCCAGCATAATAATTTCTTCATGCTCCTGCGTTTTCCTTAGGGCAGGAGACAGTTCAGCCTTCATATTGATTTGGCCCAGTACTTTCCCTGACTACTCTGGCACATCAAGGCTAATTATGCAGCCAACCTTAATAATGTGAAGTGCTGGGGACTAAGCTGCTTACACTGACTTGTGCTCCAAGCTGAGCACACTGTAAATTCAAATCCAGTTTCACATGTAAGTGGATGACACTTTAACTAACTGAGAACACCACCTCCAGAGCCAGGATGAGTTTTGCACTTCGCTGCTCAAGAATCAGAACAAAATTTCTTTGTGAATTTTTGTTTAGGCAGCACAAAGAAAAAGATCTCCTCCCAGAAACTTGGAGCTCTTGCCAGCAACAGTTTCCCCTGCTACTACTGCCACCCAATGAAACTGCACAATTAGTGTGAAATGCCACTGTTTTCAAAGATCCTAAAATTCCTTTTCACATGTTTGACTCTCATGACAATATTCCACACCAGTAGTTTTAAAATTCAACTGGCTTTTTTGCTTTGCACCCTAAAACTAAAATAATCCACATACTCTCAGATTTTAAAACTGAAGTGTTCAAGTCATCTAGAGTATGCATAGATAACCATGGTTGTCCAAATTTAATCTGGAACTCATTCATTCACAATAATATTGTATTCATACACCTATATATAAAAAACATGTACAGAAAACATGCACAGAAAACAACCCAACCAATTCATTAATCTAAATTCATACACACCTAACAGATAAGTGCCCACATCTGTTTCAATTGCAGTCATGTTGTGACACAGACACATGAGTTCTAGATGCAAGAGTTAGACTATGAGTATCTTACATACCTGTGCTATTATTTCTTTTAGGGGTAAACCCAGGTTTCACCCCATCCCCAGGCAACAGGCAAAGGTAAAGCTTTCACAGCCTGGTGCTACAAAAGCCTCAAACCTAACATCAGAAATAATTTGATCTGCACAAAAAGAACAGACTATCCTTTGAAGGTTCTAACTGACTGCAAATTGAAAAACTGCAGCCGCAAGGCATCATGAAATATCATAAAGGACTAGCTTTTGTAGTGGAGCACACTTGGTACCTTTTTCTTATTTAGGATATTCACTGCAGACAAAATGTCCCTTGTCAGAGTAAAGCCTGTTCTGTAGTCTGAAGAGCTATCAAGCTGCAACACAATGAATCAGATTATATATTATAACATGCAATATATCTAACTTCTCTTTGTCTTTCTTTTTAAAATTAGCCAGAGGCTTAAAGATGAATAAAACTTAGTTCTTCCTTAAAATTCTCCTAATGAACTGGTTTTCTCTGCAATTGGGATGACCATATTTTAATCTCAGTCCTCCTCTCCGCTACAATACTTACAAGACATGCTTTCCAACCCTTCCAGACACAGAAGGGTTCATTACTGATGATTTTAATATTCACTTTCATAATATTAATTGCATTGAACAATGTTTCATAGGAATTACATTGTAATTTTCACCTGACTAACGTCAACCTGCTAGAAAGTGTCTCTGGAAAGCATTATTAATGGCAATGGTGGTGATTAAGCTAAAACAAGGGTTAAATTAGGAAACACATGAATTACTAACTAGCCATTACCTAAAGAAAAGCCATTAATATACTGAGACTCCAATAGCTAGACTAATTTCTTTTTTTTGCCTTTGACATTGTTGCAGTTATTCATGCCTAAGCCACTCATGGTTGCAAGTCCTCCTGTCCACAACATATTTCTCTCCATCAGTACTTCCATGTGTGGAAGTTATTATATCCTCTATTATTACATAGTAGGAGAGGTAGTGCCCAGCCTACCTGCTACTTTCTACATCCAGCAACAATCACAATGATAACACATTTTTCAGTGATTCTGCTTAAAACAGGTAAAACCAACAAGGGCTGTAACACATCTGGCCCCAGTGATCCAGCTCCTAAGCTCCATCAGAAAGGGGATGAATAATTAACATGGTTCTTACTTGTGCAAAACTTTCAGCATTTCTGTTCACTGTGAACTGGTAAGTTATGTTTGAAAACTGAATGCTGACAGGGAGGATGGAGACATTGAAATGGAGCATCACCGATCTTTCTGGGCCGTGGAATTCTGTGTCATTCACCAAAACATCCAGCTGGAAGGAACGATGCTCTGTGACTGGAATGCTGTTATTCAGTACCAGTTCTGTGAAGGAAAAGATTAATCTATTAGCAACCCACATTATCTGCAAATGCATCTTTTAATATTGCAAGCCCAACAAAAATAGATGCACCAAATTTAATTATAGACATTCAAGTTTCCTAATAGGAAACAGAAGGCAACTTAAATATGAAATATGTTCTTAAGCTCTCTGTCATTCAAGATGTTTGGGAGGCTTTCTTCCATTCTACCTACCAAACCAAGAATCCTACAATCAAAACCTCTTGCTTATCAGTTTATACATCATCATCCCATACACTCCCTACTGCAGAGATGCACAAGCCCCATTTTTTCAGTACACATTTAAAACTCAGTGTTTTATTTACATGAAATTTCTCAGCTTTCTTAGGCTCAATACTTACAAAATGCTCGTAAAAATTCAAGAATTACTGGTCATCTACTAAAAAGCAACTTGTCCTTTATTTGAAGAAAGAGTCCTTACTGTACTCGTGCCGAGTTCCCCTCACTTGGCTGCCATTTGGGCTGAAGTGGATTTCATCAAAGATGTGCTCTATACGAAATGTTTCACTTATCCAGGGGTCCTCAGTAATGATGGTTCCTGTGTATTTCTTTCTGCTGCTTT